TCTGTCGCCCCTATCACGATGCGCTGTATCCCGTCGCAGACATTTGTCGATGGAAGCTGCTCGATGTAAGTCGCACATCCCGCACGGCACATCGTCCACGGTTTCATCGTGCCCGTATGGAAGAACGGAACTCAGCAACGCTCGGAGTTGTACACCATCAGCCTCGTTGCCGACGGTAAGCGCGATAGGTTTGTATCCATTTACACGGTACTCTAGCTTCTACGAATGCCGCCAGCTGCCTTCGATGGCGCGGATTACGAAGCTCACTGTTGTATTCGCTGCTGATCACTCAACAGCCCACTCCCAACGGATGCAGAAGCGGGAGGTGGGTTCCACTAATACTTTAGCACCATGTGGTGCGTTCGCCGGCAATATTGAAGGATTGAACCTCCGCGATGAAAGGCTGAAAGAGACATGTACAGTTTTGTGCTTGCAAACAACGCACAGTCGTAAGGAACAGCAACATGCGGGTAGTTGTCTCCACAGAGAAGGGTTCTGGCACGAGACGACGGATGTTTCATAGCATAGCGCCAGCATCCATTACTCGGTTGCCGTCACGTACGCCGTAAAACAAGGAGGGCTGTACTCGGAACGACTCATATATTTGAGTTGCGCAGCCGAGTAAGGGGGACGCAACTGTGACTACGGCAAGACGCAGGTGGGTTTAGGTGGTTTGCAGCAATTTGGTCCAGGGGCTGCCTGGCTTGCGTCGGCAGTAGGGAAACCATTGAACACCCGGAGGTGCTTTTCGACCGTCAGAGACCAATGGGTGGTTGCTCGTGCTCTGCGTATATCGTGCTGTGAGCTTTAACACGTAGACAGTTGTCACCCACGCAGGAAGAAGGATATCGGACCACTTCCTAACCCTCCGATGAGGTGGACTAGGGATACTGGAAGGGCGCCCACGCCTGACAGGAGAACGGGACCGCATTCTCTCAACTAAAGCCTTCGGATTAAATGTAAGACACCGAAAGGCAGCGGGTCTAGTAACAAGGTCAGTTCACGGGACTCGTGGCAGAGTGGATGTCCGGGGATCCTAGAAGGGAGAAGGGGTAACCCAACTCCACAAGTAGGGTCCCGCACGAGGCGTTCAGGAGCATAGCTCATGGTCAGTCAAAAGCAGTGCAGAGTGGGTAGACTATCTGTCAGGGACCTGCGGCACCACCAGACTCAACGACACCATGGCAAATAAGAGGGAGAACGAAACACAGCATTGGAAGAGAAACGATTTTTCGGTTGTACTACATGCGGTTTTTGGATTTTTGTGTGTTGAGTTTTATATTCGAATGGAGACGAGATAACTAATAGATAAGGGACGGTTGAACAAACTGTCTCCACTGATGCCGGTTGGCTAGCCAATAGGCCTCCAAGGTTTCTAATTCATGGCAGTTTCCGAGTTAAGCGTTGTCACGATCCGCGGAAGACGGGAAACCGGTCCGAAGCGGGATGCTAAGCTTGAGGTAGCGATTCGTCATGCTCCTTTTCACGTCAATGGGGCATACACACCGCCGCAGTTTTCCAATCGCTTACGGGAGACAGCAAATTAACGCCCTCAGAAGAGGGAAAGGCGCCAGGGACACAGATGCGCAAATACTTGGTGAGCGTAGAGGCATACGTGTCGGAGAGTACAACCGAGATGGATGCCTCACCACATGCGAGCACTCCTACGAGTCTAAACGATTGTCGAAAACTGAAAATCGTTATGTCTTCGGATAGCGCAATCGACCAAGTCTCCAACATGTAAGAAGAGGAGACGCATGAAACGAGGCACCGTATACACTGCTTGAATTCGTGGACTTGTGAGAGCTGTCGCAAAAGGGCCGCAGAATAAGTGTCTCAGTCTGAGGAAGTAGCAAGGGGGCCTTTGCAATCCGCTGTGAGACCCTCATCTACAATACAGCACGCCAGCTGTGATTCAACGTCTCGTAGATTAAGTTGAAGCGATGGAACTATTTTTCCGCAGGACGATTACCAACATAGGTAAGGGTAGGCATGGCATTGCACAATCCTGGAGTAGTAACTTAACATTTGCGACAGTGAAACACAGACCATACCTAGGTGTCTCATCGCTAAGCGGTTCGAGCGTTTGGACGGCGAGTGAATCGTCCCGAGAAAAATCGATATTATCGTTGTAGTCCGAATCCATACTTTGGCACCTGGGAGAGAGGGCTCTCAGAGATCCCGCAGTTTGGAGCCTGGACGACAATGCTCGTTGGACGAACCTCTTTCAATGGCACAATATTGGCAGAGAAAAGGCAGATGGGGGACATGCTTGGCACACCTGAGAGTGGTCGGGGCGAAACGAAGTGGAAGGTGCCGATAAGCCCTGAGTGACTTCGCCCGACGTGGTGTTAGTAGTCTAACATAATATCAAAGACATGCGTTGTCGCATGAGTGAGATTTCGCTACTGTTAATGAATCACATGGGACGAACCGTGATATAGCAGAGGGTAGAGATAGAAAAGCCAGAGAGTGGTACGTCAGAGTTTAAGATCGCGTGTTCGAATCAACCAGCAGATAAACCAGAAAATGTTGAAGCTCTATGAAATTGAGTATACTGTTTTCGAAATAATCTTTCGCGGAGTTCATTCGAGTTTAAAGATAGCGATAGAGTGTAAGGTTAATGAGGAATGAAACTTGATATGAGTGCGAAAGGATAGCCAATAGAGTTGGTCAGTAGTTCTCCGAGGTAGGTATTCTCGAGGTGCCGTAATATACGGTCCCTACGCGCTTATGGATCACGATTGGATAATGCGCGTAGGGAGATCTTGAGTTAGAATACCCTAGATATCGATAGGCCCTGTTGTTTCGAACGGAGCGCATTGGGAAGAGTAGGTATTCGTATTCAAACGGAGAAAAGCTGAGATTCCGTCTGAAGAAGATTTAACTATTCTGGAAAGTTACGACTGCTATCAGATCATAACATAAATAGTCGCTTACCCGCTGAAGAGAACAGGTGGTTAGGAGTCAAGCCCTCGTCCTTCGACACCGTGACGGAAGACGCGTTGTGTTTCCACGCGGAGATGTGTTATATTCGTCTCCATAAAAGGTGTCAAGGTTCAGTGTACTGTGAGTTCAGTGTGATGGTTTTTGAGAAGTAGTTGACGGGCCCAACGTCGGTGCTGGCCATGCATGATAATTCTTTGGAATCAATCCGGAAAATCACGTCCGCAGGATGAATTCGAGTTCACCGAGAGCCGTACTTGGTGTGAAGCTCTTTGTTTTAGAGTTAGAGAGAAAAGAAAAAGAGACTGGCTATCTGAGGATACCGGCCACTCGACTAAGATTGCATCACAGCCCATGGCGCTCGACGCGGTTGATGCGCAGAAGTGTGGACGATAGAAAGCAGAAAACGAAGTTGCTGAAGGGAGCAAGTAGAGAGAACGAAGTGAGTAAAGATGACCAGTGCCAAGAGTCTGACAGTTGTATCTGGACGTGCTCGTCAGTTGGTTATGGTACTATTTTGGGTCATAGGGAGACAATGGAATGGCTCGCAAGATAGACTGGCTCGGCCGACGACGTCTACTCGTGGAGAGAATGATTGTTCTAGATTCGCAGAGAAAGATTGGGTCCCATCAAAACCAGGATGAGCAAATCGAGTGTTTGGTGTAATCATGATAGAGTCAATCGGACAGGAAGAAACGAAAACGGAGTTGTTGGATGGAAAAGCTTGCCACCAGTACATGTTGCAGTGAATCGCCAAATAACTCACACAATAGAAACGAACAGCCATCAAAAAACCCAGCCACAGATTGCAAGCAAAACAGTTCACAAGAGATTTTTAAAACATTGCCACTAGCCGAGAGGTTAGCTCTCTAGGGAGATTAATATGATGAGCGTGAGCAGAATCGCGATCTAATGGCGAACACTGTTTACAGTCTGAGCTAGTATCATGCTTAACGCAAATGGAGTACGATCAAGCCATTTGGACTGATGTGTCGCGGTCATATAATGTCACATTAGCTAAGATGATGAGAAAAACAACAGGCAAGAAATGATCATGGATCTAGTGTAAAATTCAAACCGTCCTAGTAGGTAATCGCGTCAAGGAAACGTACACTGTATACAAGCATAGGATAAGAACAGCTGGTTTCGTGCAAACTATAAGGCGAAGTCGACTGAAGTAGTTTCTCTTGCGGCGCTCATCGTAGCCCTGTGGCAGATAAACAAGACCATTGCACCACAGATAAACAGGTGAGGACATTCTAGAGAAAGTAGTCTGCGATCATGCAAACGGCAGAAGAATAGCTACTGATGAGCGGAGGCCGCACGGTTCTGTTCGTACAAAGACCAATGAACCAAGCACAAGGCTGAGGGCCCCGTTGGACTCCACGCCGGAGGCGAGTCGAACGACAGCAAACCAATTTGGCGTGCATGACTTCATTTCACGCTGCCATGTCTAGAACTTTTTGCACCGCAGTCGAGAAATATGACACCGCTGATTCGGGCAATAAGAGGGAGGAACTAAGCTCTCGCACTCAATCGGTAGAGCGGCGATCGAGCCGCCCCCGATAGCTCCGTGTATATACGTAGATAGACAAGAATCAACCGCAGCTTATTTAGTGTTTAGGTGCTGTCTAAGGAGAAGGGGTTAGATTATGTCATTGATTAGCACGGGTCTATCAAATGAGTCGTGCGGATACGCTGTTGCTTTTCACAACCGACAATGCTCCGCAGGCAGCGACATAAAGTGTCTCAGAATCTCAGATAGAGAGGGGCCAAGAGTTATCACTTCATCAGAGAGTAGGAAGGCTCGCTTACTTGAAAGTGTGCCGTAAACACGTTCCTTGCAGAATGAGGGGAACCCTTTACTGGACGTCACAGAGGCTGTAGATTTTAAAATTTGTGGTAGGCGTGGAGCTCGGCATAAGGTCGATGAAGGATAAAGGGGTCAGGAAAGCTTGAGAATAAGAAGCAGGGCGTGAGGGTAAGTTCGATGGGCAACGAAACAAATCGTCCTTAGGAAGATAAGGAGCCAAATGGTAGACGGATTCAAATGATTAAGAGATGGAACTCAGTTTGGTAGAAGTGAGTACGGTGAGGTAGGTGGGTGGAGACAGAGGGTGTGTGCGCAAAGAACTTAGAAGGCGAAAGATGGAGAATCTTGGAGGAACGAAGATAGTCTTCACGGGTGATACGTTCACGAGGTGGTAGGCGGAGTGATTATCGGGACGCCCTGCCCCCCCCTCCCCCCCCCCCCCCGCGGTACGATCGGCCCCCCCCAGACTCATGCTAGTTTGACAGAAGTGAGTACACGAAATGTGGGATCCGCGCATCGGAGTATCTCACTCGAGGGTGTTTGATCGGCAGTGCCTAGAGCTCCGCTTTCAGTAAAAGTTCCGGAACATGCGGAGAGCAGTTATTAGGTGCACATGTTCATGGCAACTGATGCTGCAGGCCACAGAGATGGGGTGATAGTGCCTAGATAAGTTGAAACTCGTTATGTTCGGCCGAGCTGGGGCTATCTAGACTACGAGCTTCTCTGGCACGGCAATAATGTGCCAGTTTCCGGTAGAATAGATGGATTAGGTAGATTGGTCATCTTAAATTGAAATTACTAGTTCGTACAAACACAGGTCAAGTAATGTGTTTGCAAATGTCAAGTGGTCTTGTACAGGGTTAACTTTGAAGGTGCGGAGCGTAAGTAAAGTCATACGAAGGGACCAAAATAAAGAAGGGTGGATGGGAGTGAACTGCGTATAGTACGAGAGACTGTGCAGCGCGTTGTAGGCCTGAGTGGGACAAAGCAAAGCTAGGCAGTAGATGGAGGAGAGAGACAACAGTGAATGTGAACCGGAGTTGCAGGAGCGTCAGGGCGAATTGGGAAAGGGTCCGCGCCAAGGGAGGCCAGCCGGGGACGTGATGAAGGGAGAGAGTGGGAGCGACAGGAGGTGGGACGGGAGAGGGAGAGGAACGGGAGGATGTGGTGACAAGGGCTATGGGTATTGAGGTGAAGTAGACGACTCTAGGAAAAGGACCGGCATGCGGACTGATGGCGGGTAGGGGGTGGTCAGGGTCAGGCTGGAAGGCGAGAGGGAGCCTGAGCTGGGAGAAGCTCCATACGGTAGGGCGCGAGGAGGAGGGCTCAAGGTGCTTGACCCCGATATGGGGAGACGGAACAGCGAGGCAGGGGGAAGGACCTGCGTGCGTCATGATGGGGGAGGGCACAGAGACTACGTGATGCGGAGAGGAGCGCTGGGTGCAGGAGGGGCTGCAGGGGGAAAATTAGATGTAGTGTAAACAAGAGTGGGGAGGGGGGAAGAGACACGAAGGAGTGAAAAGTGGCGGCGGGTGAGGGGTGGGCGAGGAGTCCAGTGCAAGGAGTTGGGGTTCCGTAGGAGAGAGATCTGATCAGTTATGAAGGATAGGGGGGGTATGAGGGGTAGGGGCGGGCGTATTGCAGTAGCTAAGGGAGGTGCAAGAGGAGAGGGCAAGTAACTGCTGGAGTTAAGAGGGGGGACAGTAGCGAGGGTGTACCAAAAGCATGGGGTAGGGTGCATGAAGTATGAGGATCAGGGAGGAGGTCGGGTAGGGACGGCAAGATTCGTTGTCTAGGAGAGGATAAGGTGAATAGCGGTTGGGCTGAAAGGGGAGGTCGAGTAAGTGGACTATGATTGAGGCCCGCGGGAAGATTTGAGGGAGCGACAGTTACGGGGTCGGGGCTGGGGATGTGTTCGTGGCAGATTAACGTGGGATGGACTGGATAGATGCGGGGCCAGAGTTTAGACGAACAGGATAGGAATTGAATGCACACTCAGTAGCTAGTTCAGAGCGAAGTGCAGAGTGGATGTCAAGAAGCGGGGGTGACGTGAACGGGACTGGTAGCAAGAGGCGGTGAAGAGGAGGGGGAGAGGAGAGGAATGAGAGGAGGTTAGAGGCGAGGCGAGAGGACGATAGCACTTATGAAATGGTCGAAGCCTTTGGTAGATTGGGGAGGAAGCGTAACGAGATCGCAGTCCGCACCCCCACCCCGAAGGAAGGGGGAAGGTGAGGGGTCCGAAGAAAGAGATTGGGTATGGCTGGGAGGAGTAACAGGAGTCGAGGTTTGCGGGATAAGAGCTACTGAGAGAGCAATGGTTGCCCGGGCTTTGCGTCGACAAGTAAGTCAGGCTTGTGAGCTCATGGAGCGATAGTGTGCAAGTGGGAGAATGATCTTCGCCGATGGAGCGGGGGGTTGGGAGCCCGGAGGGGGGGCACGAGGGTTGTAGGGCTGGGTGGAGCCGAGGCATCGGGGGGATTGTATGCTGGTTGTGCTCTGAGGGTGTGGTGCCGGAGATATAGTGCACCACGCGCCTCCGGGAGGTTGGCGCTCGTTGCGGGGCGCAAGCTTTGCGGGTCGAACAGGGCGACACCGTCGGTGGCGCGCGCTTCGACGGAGCGCATCATGTGGGTGGGCCTTATGGGGGCGGGGGTAGCTTGTAGTCAACCGCAGGGTTGCGGGGGGGTGGGGTGTAGTCAGTAGTGGGCGGGCTCCGTGAGGATCCTACGGGAATGTTGTAGATGCGGAGCGATAGGACAGAGAACGCGTTAAAATTGAGGGGGAGGGGAGGTGAAAGTTGCGGAGGAGGGTCGAGCGACGAGCTAGGTTGGGTATTGTCCCAGCGAAAGGCGGAGTCAGGCCAGGGAGTGGTGGTACGACAGACAGGGGGCTAATAGGGGGGAAGTGTGTTAGGGTGCGAGGAGTATGTTAGATGAAGCGTCTTGCATGCATGGCTTGCAGGAGGAGAGATATGTTGGTACGTACTGAATACGTTGTGGAGGCGAGTTTGGACAGGGGGATTTAGATGCAACCGGAGGCATAGATGGGGGCCAGAGGCGAATATTTTGGAGGGGGAGGGATGTCCCATGAAGCGGGCAAGTGGATTTAGGGGAGAAGGATGCAGCTCTACGCGGCGTGACGTGGATCCAGGATTGCGTGAGGTAGAGGATCTAAGTAAAAATTAAGCCAGAGAGAAGCAGGGCGGAAGTAGATAGAAGTTCGAGCTGATAAATGAAAGAGAGCGCTTAGATAGGGGAGCGAATTGCAGCTTGCGAGCGCTGGAGACGGGGAAGATGGCTGCGTGGGCGAGCGGGCTCAAAAGCGTAGTAGGCAGCGAGCTTAGGGGTGGGGGGTGATATAATGGGCACGTCCGGTATTGGAGGGGTGAGTGGGAGATACGGGGTAGTGATCGAAGAGAGAGTAGGAAAAGAGGGCAGAGTGGAAGGCCGAGCGAAGTGTGGTTGAGGGCAGGGGTCAAGTGAGGAGGATGAGGGGTGAGTTGACAGCAGAGGCTAAGGAGGGGGTCGGTACTGAGCGATGGATGCGGGGAAGACCCGGGGACAGCGGGCGAGCATTTAGATTGAGGGCCATGCAGTCGCCGACTGAGGAAGGCAGTTGGCCGCGGTTAGTGTAGTGAGGGCGTTTCAGCAAGCTCGGCAGGAAAGCTTATGGCGAGGACCAGGAGAAAAGTAGAAGAAAGGCGAGTGGGAGACGTGTGATGGGGAAGGGTCATATTAGGGTGACGAGAGACCTGCTGGCACCCAAGGGGGGAGGCTGGTTGCGAGGTTGGGCATAGGGGAGAAGTTACCAACGTGCAGGTGGAGCAGCTTTCAGATAACAGGGACGATGCGAGAAGGGCAGGGGGGCAGATTGGGACGAGAAGGGAAGAGAGGACACGGAGCAGTCCGGGGGGTGGGGTAAGACGCAGTAGGAAGCCATGTGTCTCGTCGTATGGGAACATGGGGCGAAGAGGAGGTGGGCTAGTGTTAGTCAACGGGGAGCCGGTTTCCAGCTGCCGGAGGGGCTCTTGGGATTGCGGTGCAGGCGCGCCATGGAGGCGGAGAGACATGACCTCGGTAGGAGGAGCGGTTAAAGGGGGTGAGGGGAGGATGGCGAGAGGTATACTCGGGGTGTCATGTAGTAGCAGGAACGGGGTGGGGGTAAACGGGGGAAGTAACGGGTGAGACCAGGAGCCGTGACAGGGAGGTGTCTGTAAGTGAGGACGGGATATAACAGTTAGGAGGGGCTAGGTTTTGAAGAGGGGGTGGGCTGAGCCACCTCGGGAGATGAGTGGGGCGAGGGAGATCGACGAGGGAAGGTGGCAGAGAGAAGCTTCAGGGAGGGTAAGCCGGGAGAGAGTTGCTGAGGGAAGGAAAGTAGGTGAGCGGATTTGATGGTAGGCAGAAGCGTGCATGGAGGAGGCAGCGACTACAGAGAGATGCAGAGGGAGAGAGGGGGCGAGAGGAAGAGGGAGATCGTTCTGAGGGCAGCGGGGATGGAGGGAGAGTAGTGGAGAGTCAGCTAGGGTTAGCGGACGCAGTGGGAGGACGGGGGTCACGTATCAGAGTAACGCTGGACGAACGTTTCCGGGTAGGCGACTAGCTGACAGACAGGCTCTTAGGCGCAACGGGGGGAGGGGGGAGAGCAGAGAGTGAGGGTCGGGGAGAGAAGTTTATAATGGAATGGTTTAGGGGGTAAGGGGACAAGAAGAGTGATCTGGAGGCGGAGGGAGGAGGGCCTTGGGTAGGGCCCAGCCCAGACAGATAGGGGGGGGGAGGAATAAATCGGCGCGAAGAAAGAGCCTGCCCTACTCGGTGAAGAGGAGAAGACAGAGCAGTAATGGGGGATGAGAGGAGATGTACGATGCCATGTACAGAGCACAGGAGAAGAGTTTTGGGTAGCGAGCATTGTTAGGCGGGAGGAGGAAGAGGCGGGAGGAGGAGTCTGGTGGAGCGATAGTGAGTATGAATAGTAGATAGAATGGGAATATGCTAATGAGGGTGAGCTCGCACTGAGCGGGAGAGGTACGGGGTGAGGCGTGGGAACAGAGGAAAAATGGCCCAGACATCATTAAGCTAGAATGGATCGCACTGTGGACGGGATAGGTGGTAATGCGGTGGGCCTGACGGAGAGCAGGAGTGGACCAATGAACGGGAGGCTCTGAGCGAAGAACGCTAGTGGTGGGGAAGTCACAGCTGGGTGGCAGAAATTGAATCGACGGGGGGGGGACTTAGAGTGAGGGGTTGGGCAGGCGTGGGAGTGCAGCGGATAGAGAGAGTGAAGGTGGATTACAGGGGCGCCAGAGTAGGTGCGGGAATAAGATAGAGGGCTGCAGATGGATGGGGTGAAGAGGAAACCGGATCGGCACAACGTTTTCGGCGGGAGAGCGGAGGGTCCAGGGCTAGCTGTGTAGGCAAAGAGAACAGGTGTGGGGAGCGGTGAGTGTAAAGTACAAGATCGGAAGGGCGGAGGAAATGGGGAGGGGGCATGGTGACGTCAGATGAAGAGATGGGTCCAGGGAGAGGTCGAGGTAGACTCGAGCAGGTTACGTACCTAGAACTGAGGAGTAGAGATAGCGGTATAGAGCCAAGAGCAGAGCCCGGAGCATGGGGATAGAGAGAGGTGGTAGATGAGATGAGGTGTTAAGGCGGAGAGAGCCGGCATCTATACGAGGAAGGGGGAGTAGGGGAAGAGTGTGCTGGATCAAGGGTTTGTAGGAAGGACAGGAAGGAGAGAAAAGAGGTCAAAGTAAGGTCACACGCGCGGAGGAAGTTGGGGCACGCTAAGAAGAGAATGGGACGGTAGAAGACTGCGACAGAAAGCCATTGATGCGGTGGGCCCGAGAGACCGGAGGCGGGACACAATGAGCAGAAGTGGAGCGGATAAACCACGGATAGTGTAGAAGGTAGAGAGATTGGATGGGTTGCAAAGGGAAGGAGGAGCTCAGACAGCAGTGGTGAACTCCAAGCTTTGGGAAAGCTTATAGGCTGAGCTACGCTGCGGGGAGGAGGGTTGGTCGCATGCGCGGAGGGTAGTGGGAGATCCATGACGATAGAAAAAAAGTGCTGGACAAGAAGCCCCGGTGTTGACTGTGTCTTTGGTGGGAGGGGTTGGCCCTCCCGAGGGGGAACCACGACGGCCGACGGTGCGGCTCCAAGGTCTGTCGAGAAGTAGCTGAGAAGGGATAAAGGAGGAGTTGGGCTTGTCGTACGTAGAGAGCCGGAAAAAGACGGGAGATGGTGAGGGATGAGACGGATCGAAGACCAGCGAGGTGATGTACAGGAGAGAAGGGAAGCGAGAACTCGTGCGATGAGGCTAGCAGAGTGATGGACCAACAGTCGATGAGGCGCGGGGACCACGGGGTAGCCGCGGTGGCGAGGAGGGTGAAGAGACGAGAAGCGAAAGGAGCACCAGGTGGACGAGTAATGTCTCGAAGCAGCGGAAGCTTCTCCGTGGAAAGGTGGAGCGGAACGGTCGGAGTCTTGGGGAGTTGGACAATAGGAGCGGCAAGGGGCGCAGGAGGTTAGGATGAGCGACACGAGGGTTCGCTGAGTGTTGTCTTGGTCAGCGATCTGTGCGGTACGCTAAGGGTAGGTACGGCGAGGCGAGAGTAATGGAGGGGAGTAGCGGGAAGACCGGAGCTGCGGGTAGGATGGGAATAGCGTTTTGGTATGAGGCGCAGGGGCAGAGTCGCGAGAATAAGCGGACCGCCAAGCTTATGTAGAGAGCGATGATAGAGATCTGTCAACGTGGGCCACAGCTACGGAGCTGTGTCAGGGAAAACTGAACTAGGTGTAGGGCGGGAGAGGAACATGATCGATACCTCAGGCATAGCGGAGAGGCGAGGGGGGGGGAGGGCGTAAAAGAGGCCGCGCAGGAGCTGTAGGGAGAGCAGGCGTATGAGGCAAATCGAGGAGGAATGTGGAGGAGGGAAGCAGGCACCAGTATGGAAGATTTGGCAGGCGATGAAGAAGTGTAGCACAGTAATAGCGAGCAGCAGGAGCGAGGGTGGAGGATGGAGATGTAGTCGAGGTCGGTGGCAAGCAGGACCTAGGGAAGGTGTAGCTCGGAGTTGGGGAAAGCGGAGAAGACGGTGGATTTGGAGGCGGCAGGGGAGAGGTGTATATGGAAGTATGAGGGGGGCATGGGAGACAAGCTGAGGGATGGAGGGGCGGTAGGAGGGGATACAATTAGCCGGACGCTGGGGGGACGGAGGTCGGAGAGGGGAATGCCTGCGGGTAGAGGGGCCTAATAGGGCACAGGAAGGGTGGGGCAGTTGCTTTAGGGGCTCATGGTAGTTGGGGGGTGAGCAGACAGAACAATGGTTAGGGGGGTTTCTCGTAGGAGTAAACGGGACTTTGTTTATGTTGGGCATAAGCGATAGGAGGAGGGAGAAAGTGAGGTGGTATAAGGGTGCGGGGAAGGGGATATGAAAGCGGGCGGTGGGGGATAAGGGGTGGGCGAGTAGGGGTATAGAGGAACGGAACAGCAGATGGAGGAGAAGGCAGGAGAAGGTGGAGAGGATGTGAGATTGGCAGGTGAGGTCAGAGAGGGAGGGGAGCGGACATGAAAGCCAGGCGCCTGTTCACCGGTGGAGAAGGAAAGGGAACGGGGCGGTGGGGATAAGGGAGATGGCAGTGCCCCCCTGATGACTAGCAGGGTCAGAGAGTGCCGATGTCGATAGACTGAGTCGCGCTATGAAGCGGAACGGCGAGGGGGGGTGAAGAGGTTGGGTGAGCGGTTAGTTGCTTGGAAAGCAGGAAGAGAGGGCTCGGATAGGGGGGGAGAGCTCAGCGGTGAGGCTAGCGGGCAGGGGAATAGAGGGTCAGGAAAGGGAAAGAGTGCTAGACGGACGATGCTCGGAGTGGAGGCGCTCCGATGCAAGCCAGAAGGTCGGCACCGGGGCCCATGGGGGGTGACGGGGCTAATTGACGGGACAAAAGTTTGGACGACCCCCCCTAAGAGCCGAGATTTGGCACTGTAAACGAGCGGGAAAAACTCGGAAGTGAGACTTCAAGAGGGGCGACGGCACGCCGTGAATTTGGGGTGCGGACCGGGAGGGTTTGCTAGGGGAGGGGATGGAGCTGGAGGAGGAATGGACGTGGCCAGGGGGGGGAGTTGTGATCGGGCAGTCTTGGGGGGCAGCTCAGCGAGTAGAAAGCGGGATAGGAGGGGGGGGAGGCGGAAGCAGGAACACGAGATGAGGAAAGCTCGGATACAGTCAAGGCAGGGGAGTGGGGAGGGAGGACGGGGGAGGGGGACATTCTGAGAGAGAGACAAGGAAGGCGGTGGAGCGGGTCGTAGGAAGAAAGGTGGTTCTCAGATATGTGAACGTAGAGCGCGGGGGATGTAAGGAGTAGAAAGCCAAGAGGGAGCTGGGTAGGAAGGAGCCGCGCGGGGAGCTGGTACTGGTGGATGGACGTTATTGTGAGACGGACGAGATAAGGAGCCGGTCGCCGTAAGACGGGGCGTGAAGCGGAGAGTAGAAGGAGAGCTACAAACGAGTGCGTAGCGGGGGTGACATGGGAAAGGACTACGGCGAAAGCTGAGGGGGGTAAGAGAGATAGGCGTGAAGCCGCGGGGGTACGGGGGAGATTTGAGGATAAGATCGCCAAGAGGGGGAATCGGTGAGAATAGTAGTAGGGAGGGAGGAGCTGACCAGCACAGGAGCGAGACGGGAGGATAATGAAAGTGACAGGCAGGAGGGGGCACGAGAAGCGGAGGAATCTGTAGTAGAGGAGGGGGTTGTGCTACAGACTAGCGTGAGGAGCGGACCGGTGGTGAGGGAGGATCGAGGCGGATGGAGGGAGAGAATCAGATAGTCGGGGGGGAGGAGGGAAGACGCCGGCAAGCCCCCTGGGGGGCGCTGGGAAGTGGGTAGAGATATGGGGGGACGGGTAGCTTGGGAACGGCTGGGTTGTTGTTGATAAAAGGACGTACAGGGTCGAGCTGGCAGAGAGGACAGCGGTGAAAGTCCAAAGCCGTGAGAGATGAGGGATATGGAGCGTATGAAAGAGTGGCGTGAGACGGGGAAACCACAGTGATAAGCTCGTCGGGGGAGAGGGAGAGCCTAGAAACAGGAGAAGGATGCTCGATGGGTGGGTAGAGAGCTTGTGGGGAGGGGGAGGCGAATGAAGGGTATGCACGACCGATGTCCTTTGCCGGTGAGGTTAGGATGGGACACGGAGGCCGGGGGAGGAACGGCAAAGGGACAGGGCGCTAGATCTTAAAGTGGTGATAGAGTAGGAAGAGGGTAGTAAGAGGGGGTCAGATATTGAGACGACCGCGCAGGCGCAGGGGACCCGGAGGGAGTGATGAGGAAGGTTACCCAGCTGGCGACAACGCAGGGGGAAAGCGGCTATGGGCGGAGTGCGAATACTGGGGAGCGGAGGGGGATGGTAGAGAAGATCATGAGGAGAGGAACGATAGGCGGGAAGGAATGAAGAAGAGCAAGCAGGAAATATGGTGAACGAGAGCAACATGATAGGTGGAGGATAGCACGTGTTGAGACGGAAACACAGCGAAGGGCAGGCGAGCGGGAAGGAGTGTAGCAGGACGGATGGTACTGACGGTGAGTAATTAGAGGATAAGATCTGGTGTGGTAGGGGTGTAGCAGGTGACTAGAAAGGCGAAGGCGACCATGGTGAAACACGGAGTGCAGGAGAGAAGTTGGAGGCCATGGCGGGTAAGATGAGGGGAGTGGTAGGTGGATGGCAGAAGGATGGACCAAGGGGGGGACTCGCGGCGGCAGAGGGGGAATGAGCAATAGGTCGGGAGCGGAGGAAGTAAGCGTAGAGTGGAGGTGCGAGAGTGTGGGAGGACTGCGAGAATAAGATAGATGGGAGGAGTTAGGATGAAGAAGCCGAGTAGAGTAGAGGAAGATTCAGAGACGAGAGAACAGACCTAATAGGGCAGGAGGAAATACTAGACGGGGTGGGTCCGATACTGAGGCGAACTGTCCTTTCTGCGGCGCGGGAGAGGCTTTGGGTGCCGAGAGAGGTCCGAGGGAGGGGGCGCAGGGGAAGGGAAAGAACGATGAGAGGGCAGGCAGCGACCAGAAGCGACACGGTGAGGGGCACTCACCTTTTGGATGCAGATGGGTGACAGAGAGATGAGGCTAGTGGGAGCGAGGTTGGGGGTAGTGGAGGAAGCACGCTACGGCAGGCGGGAGCTGTGCCCGGTGGTGTGTAGCTAGGCGGGTTAGCCGAATCTACAGAGCAGTAGGGTGAGGGGGGCGGGTGGCAGGCACAAGGGTCTGAGGCGGGGCTAGGCGGCCTAGAGCGGCGCGGTCACAGGCGCGGACGTTGGGTACAAGGAGAGCAAGCCATGCCGGGACGAGCGAGCGGGCAAGAGATGCCCCCGGGAGGTATAGGGGGGGGGGAGGGGATCAAGGGTGGGTTGGGAGGAGTATGGAAGTGTATGAGGGATGTCAGTGGGGGAGAAGGGATAGTTGGGGCGTTAGCAGCTGAAGCAGTCGGTGTGACCGGGGGGGATGTGGTATCCGTGCTACTTGGAGGAGAGACCCGTGTAACGAGGAGGCGGGGAGGGCGATTGGGTCGGGAATAAGGCGAGCGACGGCGGAAGGAGCTGGGTCGCGCGGGGCGTGGGAATTGGGTTTGAGCCCGGGAGGGAAGTTACGCGATGGCACCAAGGGGTATAGGATAAGATAGCCTGGGGAGAGGGGGTCGACAAAGTGCAGTGTTAAGCTGTACACGGAGGCAGATAAGGAAGGAAAAGGAAAGGTGCAAGGAGAAACCGGGTAGAGGGTGCTAACGAGGCGTGCACGTATGGGAAAGGGGTAGAAGACAGGAGGGCCGGGGGTGCTGCGTAAAGTGAAATAAACCTGAAAAAAGCCTGCGGAGCGCACGACAGCTAGCAGAGTCTAAGTGTTGGAGAACGATCGCTCGAGAAGTCAGGAGAGGCGGGGAGGAGGAAGAAGACCGCAGGATGACATGGGACGTGACGAATAGGGAGAAGGCGAGATTGGCCGAGAATACGGCGAGAAGGAGCTGCTGAACGCGTCGCGGCCTAGGGTATGAGAGCATGTGGAGAGGGAAGGGGGTTTGAGTTAGGGCTTGGATGTGTGCGTTTGAGTGTGGGGAGTGTTGGAGGTCCGTTAGATGGGGGGGAAAGGAAGCGGGGAGTCGCCCAGCGGACAGTGAAGGACAAAGATGGCCAGTTCGAGAATAGCCTGGCTGGAGAGGTGGGCGCAGCTGTAGCCGAGCTGTGCGGGGGCATTGGGGGACTAGAGGCTGGCACGGGGCTTCCCCATAGAGTGAGAGGAGGCCGGGATCCCAGCGCATGAAGAGACGCCAATGGACATGCTGCGGATCCTAGGGGGTGATGGGGTAGAGGTGTAATGGAGAGGGTGAGGGACTAAGGGGTGTGAGCAACCTGTGGGACCTGGTAATTGGATGGATGTGATGGAAGCGGAAAAGTGGAAGTGGTTAGCTGGCCGAAACGGGAGGGTAGGGGGAAAGAGGGACAGGAGCCACCGTGGTGGTTGCATGAAGGAGCAGAGGAAAGGGAGGAAGGGAGAGGAGACAATCTTGGGGGTGCGCAAACGACGTAGTGGAGCAAGAGGACTATAAAGGGGAGGTCAGGGGAGCAAGGGAAGAGCTGCACAAGAGGATAGACTCAGGTGGCAGAAGGGGCCGGTGGGGGGGTAACGAGGTGTGTAGGGTCCCGTAGAGATGAATGAGCTCAGGAAGCGGGGGAGACTCGGTAGGAAGGACAGGACGGGGTGCACCTGGGAAGGAATTCTGGACACAGTTGTAGAGAGGCCGGTGAGGGGTTAGGCTAATAAATGGCCCTGGGGAATTCACGTGGAAGCGAGAAAGGATATGTACGGGATGCGAACGGGAGGCGCAAGGCCGAATGGAATGACCATCGAGAGTGGTGAGCGTGGAACCCCAAACATAAAGGGAGAAACAAGGAGGTAGCGAATGGGACGAATCGAACGGTGAGAATAGCAACGGTAGGGGAAAAGGAGGGAAGAGAACATGAGGGTGGGAAGGGTTAAGAATCACTGGAGAGTGGGTGCGCAAGTAGGATGAATGAGAACGCTCCAGAGTGAAGAAGGCCGCTGGGACAGATTTAGGTACTGTGTAGTGAGGGGGGTGGGGGATGCTGGGGAGAATGGAGTGGACGGAGTGGTTTCATATGGAGTCGCGTGCCGTGAACCGAGCTGTAAGAGGAAGTGAGCGGGGGGAGCCGCCTCGCTCGAAGATGTACGATAATCGGTCAAGGGAGGATGAGTGGAGGTGGAGGAGGGCAGCAAGTGAGAGAGGACCTATGATGGGGTGAAGGGAAATAGATAGGTCGTGAGCGGGGGGAAGTGTGCGATCTAAATAACCCGGGTTTAGGAGTTAGGTCGAGAAGCTTATAGGAGTGGAAAAGAGGGGTGTGGGGAAGTAATCGAAACCAGACAGCTCGGCTGGAAATTGGGGTGCGAGGGGCAGCGGTCGGTGGAGATGAGGTGAGGGACGGGAGAGGACCTAGGCGCAAGCTGAATGACCATGTAGGTGTTAGGAGAGACAGGTGTAGGGAAGCGGGGAAAATAAAGGAAATAAATATAAAATAATATTTAATGAGCGGGAAGGACTCGCAAATCATTCGGTAGGTGGAGGGAGGCTGTAACAAGTGAGGTGCGGCCTGAGGTGGGCAGGGGGCGGAGAAGGGGCAGGAGGGGACAGTGTCGTAGACTGCAAGCTGTAAGGAGGTGAAGCTTGAGATGAACGGTAGCTCGCGAGACTGTGAGGAGATGACAAGGGACGCGCGTGGGACCACATGTTAAGAAAGCATGGGAACGCGGTGAATAGGTAACGGAGAAAGGCGGCGAGGGGGTAAAAAATTAAAAAAAAAAATAAACCGATGGGAGAAAGGGGAAAGGCTAACCCGGGAGGGAAGGGAGAGCCTAGGGGGACCGGTGCGACGGTGCACAGGGACTGGAGCAAGTCGGCGGTCGGACCCAAAAAGGTAAAGGGGATAGGTGAAGACAGGCAGTGAGAAGCGGGGAAGGGAATGGGCAAGAGGAGGGTGGGGCAAGGGGGGGCGGGGTCAGGCTGTGGATACCAAAGCTTTTGGGACACAGTAGCAAGCTCTAATGAGTAGGTGGCTTTGAGGAACAGAGGAGGACTGCGATGGCCGTGGAGTCGAGGGCGTGGGGAGCTCTGGGGGGAGAAGTAGAGGGGGTGGCAGTGCGCACAGACGATGATACGCAGAGGCGGGATGGACTGTATAGGGGGAGGGAAGGGTTCTCAGCAAGCTGGAGGGACATTGTGGGGTAAGATGAGGGGATGGATGATGGATAAGCAGGCATGAAGGAGAAGAGGAGTAGAACGAACAGAAGGCGGACAAGGCTCGCGCGAGCGAGGAGATGGGGAAGCGAGGCTAGTGGATATGCAAATAGCGGAAGGCGCGAGAGGGTGTAAAGGAGGGTTGAGAGTGAAGGACATACAGGAGAGCGAGTTGCCTGAAATCAGTACATGGTTAGAGACAGCGAGTTTCCATACAGCAGTAGAGTAGAGGCGAGAGGAGGTCTGAACTGGATGTGGGGTCGAGAATGGTCAATGGTGGAGCTTGAGAGGAAGGAAGAGTGAAGCTGTTGGGGTAGGAAAGGGGCATGTACGAAAGCTCTCAATGCAGCAGAGACGTGTCGAGGTGAGAGCGGTTTAGGTGGTTAGGGGCGGAGGCCCGCGCAGATCTGGGGGGAGGAGCGATGATTAGGTAGGGAGCCGGAGAGTGAACGTACCCCTGAAGAGGTCGAGGGTGGCGTGCAGACAGGAGAGGCAGTCTTCGGTCAGAGTTGTTTGAGCAGCCGAAGACGAGGGAGCGGGGAAGGTGCGGAGGACCCCCGGAAGAGCTGAACAGGTCACGTAGCATGAGATAAAGAAGTTCGGGAAGCTGGGTATCGTTCGCGAGACGGGTGGGAGGCGTCGCTGGGGGGGGGATACGGCCGGGGGGAGCATTGGCGGGAACTGACCAAGCCCCCAGCGGGCTGACGGACATGAGCGCTCGCCTTGGGGCGGTGTACGGGTGGGGAGTGGGAAAGCGGGGGGGGGTGCGGGGGGGAGAAGGAAACAAGACAGAGGACAAGTCGCGAGGGGAGAGGAGGTAGCTAATTCGAGGGGCGGTATCGGAGAAGGTCACCGACGAGAACTTGGGGAGCTGTATCGAAGGACTACGCAACAGGGGATGGGACGGCGGTGAAGGAGTCCTGCATACTGAGGAGAAGTGGGCAAGATCGGGGTCGGTAACAGACAGAACAGGGGTTGCGTGAGGGGAAGATGACCGAGTGATACGCCTACGAGGGGCGGGTCTAGAGCGGAAGCGGCGATGCGATACGAAGTAGCGGATCCAGCACGTGATGTATAAATTCAGAGGGGCTGAATGGCTTCAGAGAATGGGGAGTGGAGTCACGAGTGGAACAGAGGGGACAGATCGGCCGGGGAGAGAGTGGGAGAGTGGGAGAGGTGAAAAACAGAGGCACTAGTTTGGACGGACGTTTAGAGGCGAAGAGAGCTGTACGGACATGCTGAACACCATTGCTATTCATGAAGATTTCAAATTCTTTGCTAGTGAAACATGGCCCATTGTCTGTGCAGAGTGTCTCCGGTATCCCAAATATTGCAAATGACGACCGCATTTTGGAGATAGTTGTCTCTGTAGTAGGGTGGGCAACGGGATAAACATCTATCCATTTCGAATGAGCGTCAATTAGCAGCAGGAAGAATACACCATTAATGGGTCCAAAGTAATCCGCATGGATGCGCTGCCATGGCTTTTCAGGCCAACGCCAATTGTGTACCGGACCGGGAGGTTTATTTGACTGATACTGCTGACACAAACCACATGTTTTTAGATAGTTCTCTATCTCTGTATCTAGGCCAGGCCACCAGCAATAACCGCGCGCCAAGGCTTTCATTCGGGCTACGCCTGGATGTGCGTTGTGGAGTTCCTTTATGATGAACGGCCGTGTCTTTAGCGGTGGAATCAGGCGGGATAACCAAAACAAGCATCCATCGTGAAGAATCAATTCAATTTTCCGTTGTGCGTAAGGTTTAAGCTCGACGGGAACTGTAGTAGGCCAGCCGGTTTTTGTAAATCGCACTACAGAAGATAGCGTTGGGTCACGATCGGTCCACTGACGTATGGTGTCACCTGTCAATGGAGTGGTGTCGAGGTGTTGCATTAGATTTACAAGCTCTACTGGTTCCTCCAGTATTTCGTCTGGGGTCGCATGTGGTAACCTGCTTAATGCATCCGCTGTATGATTGTTCAACCCAGGAATATACGAGGTTCGATATTTATATGCACTTAATATTAATGCCCAGCGTTGCGTTCTCGGTGAAAACATCTGCTCGATTCCCTTTGACTCGCTCAGCAAAGATATCAGTGGTTTGTGGTCAGTTTGTATTTCGAAATAGTTCCCCAAATGTACTGATGAAACCGCTTGACGCCAAATATAACTGACAGGGCTTCTTTATCCAACTGGGAGTAATTCTTTTCAGCTGGTTGTAAAGTTCGTGAAGCAAATGCAATCGGGTGTATGATACCATTGGACATTTTGTGACATAGAACTGCTCCGACTCCGTATGGAGAGGCGTCACATTGTAAGATTAACGGTTTTGCACTATCGTAATGGACCAAAACAGGTGCGGAAGCAAGACACTTCTTTGCACAAGTAAAAGCAGATTGATGCTCACTTTTCCACATCCACGGGATGTTTTTGTGTAACAGTTCGTTTCATGGAGCAAGAAGGGTCGTGGCCTCAGGTAGGAAACGACGATAGTGGGACAGCATTCCCAGGAATGATCGTAGTTCATCGCTATTCTTGGGCTGAGGTGTCTGCACAATAGGTGCTATCTTATCTTGCAGGACATGCAAACCGGTTTTGTCCAGTTTGGAACCAAGATAACAAACGGAATCGGATAAGAACTCACATTTGGACTTTTTTAATTTTAACCCACACTCTTCCCGACGCAGGAGAACAGTTCCCAGTGTGTTTAGGTGATCAGAGTCACTGCGACCAGTAACAAGGATATCGTCCAAGTATGCACAGGTGAACGGTATACCTTTAACTATATTATCCACTATACGTTGGAAAATGCTGGGTGCTGAATTTATTCCAAACGGGAGACGCGTGTACTGGAATAGTCCCAGGTGGGTAGTTATTGAGGGTCAGTTCCTGCGACTCATCATCAAGTTCGACCTGAGGGTATGCGTAACTAAGATCTAGCTTGGAAAACTTTTGGCCACCGGCTAAAGTCGCGTACAAGTCTTCAATACGTGGTAGGGGATATTTTTCCACTTTCGACGCTTGGTTGACTGTCAACTTGTAGTCCCCGCAAATACGGACGGAGCCGTCAGGTTTGAGTACAGGTACAATGGGAGTGCCCCAATCCGAATGTTGCACCGGAACTATGACTCCTTCTGATTGTAGACGTTGTATCTCTGCCTCAACTTTAGGGCGCATTGCATAAGGTAATGATCTAGCTTTGTAAAATTTTGGTTCGGCACCCTCTCGGAGTTTGATGGAAGCCTTGAAATGACGCATTTTCCCAGTTTATTTTCAAACAACGATGAGAACTCGTTCAATAATCCATTCAAACTGCCGTCTTCAACAGTGAGTTGGTTGAGTTGCATGGTCTCGGGAAAGAACTGTATCCAGTCTCGACCCATGAGATTCGGTTTGTTCCCAGGTACAACGATTAAGGGCAGGGTGAATTCTCGCTCCCCGTGCCTGGCTTTAACGAAACATCTGCCCAACACCTGAATTGGATCACCTGTGTACGTCTGTAATCTCGAGTTGCACGGTAGCAAAGGTGGTAGCTTTTTCATTGAACCGCGGTTTACAATGGTGACCGCCGCCCCAGTATCGAGCTCCATGTCTACCGGTTCATCCTCTATCATCAAACGTATTGTATAAGGAGGACAGTTTTTGTGTGTCACACTCTTCAAGTACACGGAGTTAAGCTCACTGTTCAAATTTTTAGGACATTATCTTCCCGTAACTCTATCTTGCTTTGACGATTTGATGAGGCGATGTTCGTGGGGCGGGAACTTTCTGATCTACAGACGCGTGCTAAATGACCTATCTTGCCACATTTCCGACAGATACTTTCTTTGTGCCGGCAATCGGAAGCGTGAGAATGCCGCAAACCGCAACGATAACACACAAATCGTTTTCGATTTTCACTGCTGTCTGATTTACGGATCGCCTGCACATCATCAGCTACCGGCCGGCCGGTGAACTCGCGTAACTGGTGTGTAATGTTCTCACGTTGGCGAACGATGAGACAAACGTTTTCCCACGTGGTGGCCGACTCATCCAAGGATAGCAACTTCTCTCTAGCAGTTTCGTCCGATATTCCCGCAATCAAACATTGAATTTTCATTTGCTCTTCAATTTTTCCAGGTGGAATATCATTATACTTACAATCAGGAATGGATTGGTGAATATGTGCAATAAAATCATTGACGCTTTCGTTCGGCTTTTGGACAGGTTTTGAAAAGCAGTATCTAGCAGTGTAAACATTTTGTTTCAGCCCCCAAAACGTGGTATAAGTATCCAAAGCAGAACTGAGGGTGGCGTAATTTTCCAGTTGTAGGGCATCCTAGTGTCCCTGACCTTCATCGCCAAGCACCTGCCTGAATAGTGTGATTTTGTGAGCCTCAGAAAGACAAACGGCCGGATTCAGTACAGGAAGTAATTCCACGTAGTTAGTAAATGATTTTCTCCATCTTATCCCATTCGATAAGGTCGGTTTTTCTTCAGCAGATGACCAGAATATAGGAGGTGTATTCAACATTGGGTTCGTCATTTTCGTCGCCACTACTACGTAGTACCACTAAGCATGTAACGCACGCTTCCGAGACACGTAATCCCAGCAAGCAGAAGACGTCTAAGCAGCAGGAGGTTTATCAATCAGTTGAGGAAGGTACAAGACTCACGGAACTCGCGTTGCGAGACCGGGGGTGTGTGTCTGATGATTGGCTGGCTGTTTTGTGTGGTAACCAATCCACGCACGGCTGAGTAAACGGATCGAAGTCATTCGCGTACGTGACACTAGGCAGCATCCTTAGTCCGGCTACTAAGTCCTGATTCGCAGTGTCTCGCAAGCCAATGTCAGATCTGAATGACTGGCAGTGGCTTGCGAGACTCCGCGAAATAGGACTTAATAGACGCACTGACGCTGTTACCTAGCTTGGTAATGAAACGTTTGCGACAGAAATGCCCAACGCGGAGAACAAGACACCCGGAGCTACAGGCGTGTGTGTGTGTGTGTAACGCATATTGCACAAAGCAAGGGTAACACTTTTCTCCGCATGTTCCCACCCTTCCAGCAATCGAAACTAGCGTAACAATTGCGTCAGAACACGCAAAATTGGATTTCGGTGTTATCTGCTTGATTAAGCTGTGCAGTCTCACTTGTTGGTGCATTGTATCAGCTCCAAACTCAAGCGACCGGAACATTTCATCAGGGCAGCATTCTTAGAGCGGAAAAAGTGAGTAACATCTTTGGAAGTCTTGTCTCGTTACGAACCGGTGGCCGCAGTGCTCATTAGTTTCAGGATCCCGATGATCATTTTGCCACATACGACTCCTCAATCGTAAGTCTACTCAAAGTGTGACTGCAATCTAGATTGTGTGTATCCGCAGTTTTCATTTTGTATCGCTCAACGAGCTGTATGCTCAAGAAGTCTACCCTTGGACAATGTCCCTTCTCTGTATTTCCGAAACAGATACACCCTCATTATCTGGGACCACCATGCAGCGTCCACAGATTGTTACCGACCATTAAAATTTGAGGGGATGGGATGTGCTGACGGAACAGCTGCAGAAGTTAACCTCTAATGTTATCGATTCATCCCAGCAGCTTACAAGCCAGATAGTGTTGCCACCAATCCAGAAAAGCACCAGAGAACCGTCTTATCCTATTGGGTCAAAGAGTATTGCTCATCCCCGTTTCCAGAATATGGCGGAAACTTTCAGAGCTAACCACAAACTGCTGTATAGATATTTCAATAGATGTCGTAAGGTGAGGCAGGGAATTCGTCCACTCCGGACGACTGATGATCCAACTATAACAGCCATAGAAGCAGCAAAAGCGTTGGGGACGCAATATGCTCCCACATTTCAGAGGGTCTTACCATCAGACCAAGTTGCAACTATTTTTCCGCCTCCAGGACTCACCCACGTCTTTTTACTGCCGAAGCTGTTTTGCGGAAGCCGACGTTGCGCGACCCCAGCTCCCCTGGAGTCGACATCATCCGCCCAGAGGCACTGGGAGCAGCAGCAAGACAACTGGCAAAGCCCTTGGCGCAGTTCTTCCAGCACTGCTTAGACCAGAACCAGATTCTTACGATGTGGAAATTTAAAATAATGAACTCACAAAGGCGGAAACAGGACTGGGCCATCAAACTACCGTCCAATGTCCCTTCTCCCTGTATTACCCAAGGTCATAGAATCCATTGTTACCGATGCTTCGATGTATGTAGAAAATTGTAACATTATTGCTCCCGTGCAACATGGCTTCCGTCGACAGCGATCGTGCACAACGAATTTATTAATCGCAAGTAGTTGGACTGAGTCAGCTGACGCTGGAGAGGCCGTTGATGTAATCTACTTGGATTTGTCGAAGGCGTTCGATCGTTTGGCTCAGTCATTCTCAACGAGCGTACAGAATTTCCGGGGGTCTTGGGATGAGGATATTTTAATTAGGGCCATAGGGGACCGTGCTATGGAAAGTGGGTTGTGATAACACTAATAACAAAATTCATATAAAAATAATTTGCCAATAGTTTCTCTCCGCACACTAATCCTCACTGGTAACTACGGTTCAGTGAATTGAAGTCCGCGCGCGCACGTGCTTGTTTACGAAGGTGTGTAAGCCAGGCTGAGCCGACTTTCTGCTGCGGAGCTGGCATAGACCCGCCAAACTCGCAGATTTCGCCGGGCTCACCTTAAACCTTTAATCAACACACTGCGACGTAGACTGCGCAACTAACACCCGATTCGTCCTCGGCACTTTGAAACCTATCCACAGTGAACCAACTGAGCTTTACTTAGAACATCTACTAATCAAGCGGCAGTGAACCTAACGAACTCTCGTCAGTACACTGCAGCTGTTAGGGCACAAAGCCACTCTGACACTAACAGAGTTTTCCGCAGGGCACTACCATTGTGAGACATTCATGTGCCAGTCAGTCTACCTCGTTCGGATCTTACTGCGGTAGCGTTAGGTTACGCGTTTTTCGTCTCCAGTCTCAGCTGGCAGTGTTCCACCAGTCTGTGTTTCTAATAGTTATAAGGAAGGGTTTTATAAAATTATTAGTATGAAAACAGATTTGATTGACATTTAAAATCGTGGAGCACTACCGTCTCAGCTCGCGTGTACGCCTGGCGGCTGTCACGTTAGCCCGCAAGTTTCCGAATTCGAGTGACTATCCTGCGCGCGTGGGGTACTATCTTACGGAAGGATATCCGTTTGCTTCTGTGAGTATATATAACATAATATGTACAAAAGGATGCATCTCCTTATAATTGTAATAATCAAATGCCTTGCCAGCACGCATTTGGCTCCATGTTTGGAAATGGCTGATGTACGTTATTCTCTTCGTTGTTGACACTCCCAAGCCGCTTCCTTGAACTATCCGGCATTTTCTTCCGTGTATGTCTCTGCTGTCCTTCATTTTACCTGTTACCACTGCTACAACTTTCCTGTAATGTATGTGTGTCTAGTGAGTATTGTCATTTTCTGAGTTCCATTCGTTTTCCTCATTGGCTTTTGTCAAGAAGTTTTCTTCTGTCATGTTGGCTATTCACAGAAAGCGCCTTTGGGTGGCTTCTAACAGTGTTGCTACAGTTATGGATTATAACATTCTAGCCACCAACAGAAGTTTTTAGTATGCTTGCCAAACGTCTTTTCTTATAATCTCACGGTCAAGCACAATGAAATTCAATGCCAACAACTATTAATACTACCTGCATATTTCGCCTTGTCGAATAATGTTATTAAATGCACATGATATAACTGTGTAAAAATATTAAAACAAAGCAGTAAACGTATATTGCATATTAACGGTTTACAAGGATATATTTCAGAAATGATCTCCTCGGCAACGAATAACTTTCGGCAGTACTCCGTAGAATACTTGTCATTTGGATTCATCGCATCACTTCAAAACCCCACTTTACCTATGTGTTTAATTTGCCAAACCACTCTTTCAAATGAAAGTGCGACCAAGTAAACTGAAAAATCACTTGCGAAGTATTGATAAATGCGAAATTGGAGTCTGTGGATTTTTTCTTAGTAAGCTGCGGGATAGCTTCGAAAAGATATCAAATTTAAAGACAATCGTTTCTGACAGAGCAAGAACGGCAAATGGACTTGCGGCATCGGATAAAAACAACAAATTGATTACTAAAAATCGCATTCTATGTAAAGTTTGAGAAAATATTATTTTGCCTTTAGTATCAATAATACTGTCTGACCTGATGTATATGAATCCACAAGAAGCAGTTTAAGCCATTCTGTTCAGCAACTCAACTGTAACTAAGCGAATAGATGAGATGGCTCAGGATATACAATGTACCTTAGTTACCTTACTACAGTCCAGAAAATTTTCGTCACTAGTAGGTAATCTACATTATCTGATAACGAAGCTCTTCTCGCGGCATATATTCGATTTTCAATGATAATATATTATTGGAAGAGAGGCTGCTTACCAGGATAAATAAAACTTATACAAAGGACCAATCTATATTCAAAGTAGTCAATGACTATTGTAGCGTCCAAAAAGATAACCGCTATCTTTTATGTACTATTTAATTGTTGACCAGTTTTACATTATCCTTTCTTGTTTTAATCTTCCTTACAACCGGCTCGACACTCGACCGACTTGTAGGTTACCGCCCTAACGTGTGCCTCGTGTCTTGCTTCATCCGTCCGCGTCTTCTTGTAACCCATAGAATACAGTCCGCTGTCCGACTCCAACTGCCTTCTGATATCTGCACTTAATTTCGCGCACCGTCTCTGACTAGTATCAACTAGTCCTACAAATTGGTGACCCCAATTCGCACGCGCAAATTCACCCTTTTTGTTGTCCCTTGTATTTTGATGAGTTCCTTCCTTTTTCTCGATTTTATACGTGTATTCATTTGTTGCTTGCGTAATTTTAGTACTTGCATTGTGTTTTGTTCATCCTTGATCTTTTCGATTCACATTTCGAAAGTGACATCTGAGTCGTTCCGCAGCGTAAACATGCTTAATTTGGCTGTTCCAAGTTTCATGGAACACAGCCCAGAGGTTTGGTTTGCGATATTCGAGATCGAACTGGAAAATAAGGGCATTACGACGAACCGTCCGAGGTACAATCAGCTCGTCCCACGCCTTCCTTCTTCCGTTGTGACGCTGCTTGAGGACATTCTACTCTGCCCATCGAATGAGGCAAAGTATGAAACGACGGAGCAAGCGATTTTAATGCCAAGCGTACGGGCTCGGTTTGAACAGCGCAGTGGTCTCAAGCTGGGAGATCGTAAGCCATCGACGTTACTCTGCGGAATTTAGTGCACCGCTGGTCTCTTATTCTTGTGCCAAGAAGGGATACAGGAGCTGTGTTTTGCACTTCTCCCAGAACCATTGGCGGTAATGCTGTACCGGTTTCTGGATACACCCCTGAAAGAACTAGTTACCAAGACAGTTACTGCGTTCGAACGTCTTACGCAGCAGACGAACAACAGCTCTGGTGACGTATTCTCACCGATGTAAACGGAATCTCATATTTGCTCCCGGTCGTCAGGCCGATCTGACCCTAAAGACGAGGAAATTGCGCTACTTTGCAGTAGGATAGCAGCAATGAAGGCTTCGAAGCGGCATGTGCCACGGTCAAATGCTGACCACGTTTTGGCTACCGTTCATTTCGGCTCGTCTGTGCCTGCAGCGAGTACGTCTCTTTCGTCACGAAGGCGCAACCTTTTCCATGCACGTTCTCAGTCCGGCAATCCCAAACCCGTCGAAGAATTACGTTGGTATCATCGCCAATATGGTGAAAGAGCTAGACGTTATCGGGCTCCCTGCATTGGGCGCAACTCAGCCGCTTCAGGGAAAGAAAATAGCCCGCATACTAGCAAGATCAATGTATCCGTCAATAACCAAGCAAATCGCTTGTTTTACGTTAAGGATCGACATTCTTCCATCATGTTCCTCGTCGACACGGGAGCAGAAGTCAGCGTCATCCCAGCGAACGCGAACGACAAGCACTCAGAGCCTACGTACAATCTGTGTGCGGCCAACGGTCCTCCGATAGATTCATGCGGTCAGCCCATGATGAACCTGGACCTCAATCTTCACCGAGATTTTCAGTGGATCTTCATGGTTCCGTCTGTACCCTTCGCAATTATCGGTAGCGACTTTCTCCGACATTTTAGGCTGCTTGTTGATACTGGTCGCCACAGACTTTTAGACGACCGTACTAAA